ATTTATAAAAAATAAAAACGAATAAACTTTTCCTTCTCAGATATTAACTTCTTATCGACACATTTTTTTTCGTAGGATCGCTAATTTTCCAAGTATTTAAACGTTTCATGAGAAGAAAAACACCTTGTATTTTATTTTTAATTTAAATTTGGATTTGCCTTTATTCTTAGGTTAACACACTAACAGCAAATAGGAAACAATAAAAATAATCCAATTTACTCACTATCAATAAGTTAAATGGAGTTATTGAACTTTTTATGCTTCTTCATACATCTTCAAATTTGTTCTCAAGGGATGTGAGGCAAATGTTTTAAGGACAATCCAAGTAAAAATCGCAATTCACTCAAATACCTATTGGAAGTTATGTAGATGTAATATTTTCGTCATTTATTAACTGATCATTTTCCATTGCACTATTACCAGTTTTTGCGTCGATTTTACATACTTTGGCAAACAGGGATCGTTATTGCGCATTTTGCCAAGCGGTTTCGCTGCGTCTTTTAGCTGTTGGACTGATCAATTATTTAAATATTTGTACTAGATAGTGGATAAATGCAAATGCAATTGTCCATTACCAAATAAGGTATCAAACAGGAAAGAATGTACGATGCAGGTTGAAATAGAGGGGACACCTAACTGCGTCCCATCCAGTGGGAGATCTCGATTTAGTGCATCCCTCAAGCCATATATGGGCGACGCATAGCTAATGCGCTATGCTAGAGCTAGAGCACCCATAAATGGTTTCCGGGGATTCAACTATAGGGCTCTTATAAATAAACAACAATTCAAGATTGGTTTCCACTCGACACGCTACCTCTACCGAGTCGCAGTCACTCAGATCTATTTCAAATTGAGGTAAGCGGATTGGGAGTTTTTTCTTAGATGTTTAGTGGGTAGTGCGGTAGTTGAGCGGCTCTCCGATACTCCATCAGTTGAAGTGATTTTTTATTTACAAATTTATTTTATTGCTTGTAAGTAGAAAGGCAGACTTAAGACATCATTCTCTATAACTTGCTTTTGCTGTTCATTTTTGTGTATTTCTTATTTCGGACTTCAAAACTTTGTCGTTCAGTTCAACTGATTTAAAATGCTCTGAATGTTTTACGGAATTTACAGGCATAAAAATGTTTTTCTTTTAAAGATTTTGTTAAAATCAACTTGTTTGTTATTCGATTAAATGGTCAAATTTAAGTAAAAAATTGATTGAATCAATGACGTTGAAAAAATGTTGCCAAAAGTCCTAAAGTCGCTTTAGGCTATGTGACTAAAATACGCATCAAATAAAGTTTTTTTTTAAATTACAGAACCCAAATTAGACTGCGCCCATAAATACATTAGGCTGACCTTTAAGCCAATTAGTATCGGACGTAATCCTAGATTGCAATTAAACTAAAAATAAACATTCAATAGATATTTAATCAGCAATAGTTCCGAATCAAAGTATTTATAGGTATCTATTGACACACTTGTACAATTAAAATGCTTTTGGGTTACACAAGTGGAAGTCCACATCCACACTAAGCAGTAGAGGACACGATCCTTAAATATGAATATCCTCATGGCGACTTTTTGTTAGGCATTGAGACGGTTTGCTAGAGATGCTAACAGAAAAGGAAATATCGTATTTATTCATGTTTCTTCTTGTTCCAGAGCCACCACTTCTTCAGTAACCAATCATGTGTGATGACGACGTAGCAGCCCTTGTGATCGACAATGGATCTGGGATGTGCAAAGCTGGATTTGCTGGGGATGACGCTCCTCGTGCAGTATTTCCTTCAATAGTGGGCCGTCCAAGGCATCAGGGTGTCATGGTGGGAATGGGTCAAAAAGACTCCTACGTGGGCGACGAAGCGCAGAGCAAAAGAGGTAAGTTATTTGTCTCTATCCACTAAATTAATATAATTGATTTATTATGCTACAAAGACAAATTTCAGTGTTTTTACACTTTTTTACGTGCTTTAGGCATTTTGTTCAATGCAAATGTGCATTTGGTATGATACAGAAAAGTGCATTTGCAAGTAAAGTTATTGTCATTGTAAGTGAAGCTCAAATTTAAAAATACACAAACTATGGTTCCAGATTACTCAAAAAATCTATTTTGCAAATATTCGATTATTTCATTTTATTAGAATATGTAATAGTCAGAAAACATCGCGTTGCGACTCCAATCATGCCGTTGAATCCATTGGTTGTAGTATAAACAATAACAATACCACAATGTTACTTTTTGGGCCATATATTAATAATATTTGTAAACTTTGTTCAAAATTCCAGAATTGTTCAGTTTTAGCCAAGTTCCTCTTTCTTCTAAATGCTCAATTTTCAAAAGTTTCACTTTAAAATGCTGACAATCGTAAGGTATTTTCGATTTGTAAAAAGTTTTGAAATCCCTTTCTAGCTTCGCATTTGTAAAAAAAATCAAATACTTTTCTATCAAAAAACGCACACAATAAGCGAAAGTTTATAACAGATTGTTTGGAAGTCTCGTCACCTCCATCCCTTCCTCCTCCACCTCTGAAGACTGTAGAGTTTATTTAAAAAATATGTTTTTTTAGTTTAAACTAAATTACTTTAAATGACTGAATTTTTTTCCCCGAGAAGCATTAAGGTTTTCTCCAAAACCAATCTCAAAACTAAAAGTTTTTAATCGAAAACGCAAAAAACCATTATTTTCTGGTGATTTTCTTCTTTTCTGACAGTAATGAAGTTTTTTCAGCTAAAAGCGACAAAATTTATTTTGCTAAAAAATTCGCCTCATTCAACTGTTTGCAGGGAACTTTAGAAAATCCATTTGAGCTTCGATATCGCACAAAAACCGAATAAATTTATTCAGTTTTTTACCGAAAGTAATTAGGATTATCTTGAAAAACGACCAGGACAAAAGTTTGCAGAAAATTATTTGGAAAATGCGCCGCTCTTTAAAGTTCCTTCGCTTTTAAAAGTTCCTTTAAATTTTCAGGTTTCTTTAAAATTTCAGCAAAAATTGTTTTATTTTTTAGTTTTTCTTAAAATACTGATAATTTTGAGGTATTTTCTGTGAAAAATTATAAGATACATTTTATTGGAACACTTGCCTCCTTAATCGCTTTGCAAAATTTTTTGAAGTCTGTTATCAGCTTCGAATTCGGTTGAATTGTGGAAAAACATCCCTAATAATTATTTCTGGGCGTTTTTCCAAAAATATGTCCCCGAACTGAAAAAGCGAGTTTATAATCACTTATTTAGAAAACTCTTGAAAACTGCGGTTTCTCGGTCAATATTTCTAAACAACACTGTCTCTAAATAGAAAAACCACGTTTTTTCTAACGTTTTACTGTAAAATATTGGCAAAATGAATCTTTTATCCAAGAAAATTAAGACACGATTTTACAAGAAAACTCGTCGACTTTCTTTGAACTCCTGATGCTGGGAAAATCTAGATGACCTTTTTTTACTTGTTTGAACAAAGTAGTAAAACGTTACTCAAAAAAAATGTTGATGACCTTTTTTTTGATGTGAAAATTCCAGTCTCAGGTTAAGCTTTAATAAATGACTGATAACTTATTAACCGATGAGTTATAACTGGTTAACTCAGAGAGCGGCAGCAGCTCAATAGCGCAACTCAACACAGTGTTACCCAGGCTTAATTTGTTAGCTAGTTTTTCGAGCCGTAAAGCATTGTTTTAAAATCCTATTTTGAGCAGGCATGTTATTGTTCTGCTTATATTTTATTGTAAGTTTATTAAACCATTTTGCACACATATTTTCTGCCAATTCTTCTGCTACCGTTAACTGATCAGTTTAAAATCGCTACGAATTCGAATCAGATTTTCGAATTAACGCCGTAAGCCGTCACTTTACTTGGGAAAAACAACCGATTTTCACATGTTCTTCCTTTAGGTATTCTTACTTTAAAATACCCGATCGAGCACGGAATCATCACTAACTGGGACGATATGGAAAAGATCTGGCATCACACCTTCTACAACGAGCTTCGCGTGGCCCCTGAAGAACATCCCATTTTACTCACTGAAGCTCCATTGAACCCCAAAGCCAATAGGTAGTTTTCAGAAATCTACCGTTCAAATCTCAGGTTTTACTTTAAATATATTTCCAGAGAAAAAATGACTCAAATCATGTTTGAAACCTTCAACACGCCTGCCATGTACGTGGCAATTCAAGCAGTATTGTCTCTTTACGCTTCCGGTCGTACCACTGGTATTGTCTTGGACTCTGGAGATGGTGTTTCTCATACTGTTCCCATCTATGAAGGTTATGCTCTTCCTCATGCCATTCTACGTTTGGATTTGGCTGGTAAGTTCAGAATTTCATTTTATTAGATATTAAAGTTTAGATTTTTTAAAATTTGGTGTGTTCTTATTGAGACTTTCTTGGAAACTTGCTGATATATTCAAGGAAGAGTGAACATTATAACTAATGGACAATAATTGAAGGTAACATAAAGCGATTTGCACAGTTTTCAGTTAGAAAGATTAAAAAGACAGTTTTAGCCCAAATACTCGCTCAGCTGGGATGAAAGTAATGTTTAATTTTCAAGTTTCTCCTGCAGCGCAGTGTTTATTTTATCATTTTTCGCTGAAACTGAACTACATTAGGAAAAAAAAAGGAAAAATACAACACATTTGCTACTTAAGAGGGTTTTCAAGCAAAAGACTTATTTATTCAAACGGTCACGTTCCGCTGCAATTAGTAGCGCGAAATGGAACAGAGGGGAATTATGAGTAAAGGAGAGTGTTGCACATTCGGGCATTTTTTCGGAAGACAACATTAAACATTGATCGTTTTTTTCATATTTCCTTTTATAAAGTTATCTTCCATCTGAACAACCAGCAGATTTTTCCATACTGGCCCTTAATATCTTGGACACACTGCGAAAATTTAAGTTTAGTTACGGAAAATGGTGTCTTTTGCAAATATCTTATTTTTGAGCATCTCCCAATTTAAATAGCCCTTTATAATAATAATCAAGAGTTTGGCAAATGATACGAAATTTACTAAATATTTATATTTAATCAGTGAAAATAATTTTTCAACTAATTGACTCAAATTTCTGTCTGTATAGAAAATCCATAAATTCTTGTTTTTATCCTCCCTTTCCTTTATCCAAAAAGTCTAATTTATTTCTTTATTCTGATTGCATGTTTTCGAATTTTTCAGGTCGCGATTTAACTGATTACCTGATGAAAATCCTCACTGAACGCGGTTATTCCTTCACCACAACAGCCGAGAGAGAAATCGTGCGCGATATCAAGGAAAAGTTATGTTATGTAGCCCTCGACTTTGAGCAGGAAATGGCAACAGCTGCCAATTCCACTTCCTTGGAAAAGAGTTATGAACTTCCCGACGGCCAAGTCATCACCATTGGGAATGAAAGATTTAGGTAAACTTTTGCGATCATCATTAGGACGAAGAGCCGTTTCAAGACGACATTTTCAGGTGCCCTGAAGCGCTGTTCCAACCATCATTCTTGGGCATGGAATCATGTGGTATCCACGAAACGGTCTACAACTCAATCATGAAGTGCGATGTTGATATTCGTAAGGACTTGTATGCGAACACGGTCTTATCCGGTGGAACCACCATGTACCCTGGTAAGTCTTCACGGTTCTCCAAAATCGTAAACTGCAACTTTCCACAATTTTCCGTTAAATTATAGGTATTGCTGACCGCATGCAAAAGGAAATCACAGCCCTTGCGCCATCCACAATCAAAATCAAGATCATCGCACCCCCAGAAAGAAAATATTCCGTCTGGATCGGTGGTTCCATCTTGGCGTCTCTTTCCACCTTCCAGCAGATGTGGATCTCCAAGCAAGAGTACGATGAATCCGGCCCAGGCATCGTCCATCGCAAGTGCTTCTAAACAGCATTTGATTACTTCCGATTAAAGTGCCGGAAGTCGAAGCACTGCCCTCGAGACCTGCAAAACTTCCCCCTTTTTTCGTTTGAGAGAAGAGGTCTGTTTACTTTAGGAGTGAATCTAATTGTATTTGATAATTTTTTAAGAGTTAAAACTATTTAGAAGTAATCTAGAATATCAAAGGATTTGTATTGATGTTATTTATTGAATAAAGCTGGTTTCGCATTGAAAACGAATGTGTATGTATATGCCACACAAACCCGTTTGAATATTTGGAAACGTTTTTCTATTCTATTGAGAATGTCACTATAACTGAAAATTTTAGCAAATGTTGAGAATGAATTAATAGCTTTGATTGAAACCATTTAGGGTCTAAAACATTTGCAAACATATTATAAACAAACTAACATCAAATCAACATTTGTTAACATTTTCAGTTCCACATCGTCGGTATTTTACACTAACATAGAGCATGCTAGATTTCACCAAACCATTTTATTAAATCGAAGTCTTCCTAACATATTTGCTCACATAGCGCAAATAAATCCTAGTCAATCTAGCAAATCTCCATCGAAATGCCAAGCAATAGTAAATTTTTAGTGGAAATCGTTAGCAAATAAGATTGTCTGCTGATAATTACTGAAAATGTGTGACTGTAAACTACATCACTATAATTATTCAAAAAAATAGGTGGATATAAATGTAATTGTTCAGGTCCAACTGTATCTAGCAACCAAACAGCCAACATTTTTGCTAATTTCGCCATAATTCAGCGCAATATTCTGATCCAAATAAATCCGTCGTTTTGGATGTTTATATGCCTTTAAAAACACGTTGATTTCTGTCATTACGTCAAATTAGTCTATGTATTGTTAGGGAGTGGGAAGTACTGTGTGTCATTCGCTCCATGAAAATTCGAAAAAACCCGAGATTTTTCGACTTTCCTTCGCAAAATTACCGATTTTCGTATACAGAAAGTGTTTAATCATCGTTTTGTGGTATTTTCCCGTCTGATAGTGCGATTTTAGGAAAAATAACGCGATATTTGAAACTGCTGAGTTCCATGTGACGTTTGCTGTCAAAAAGTCAGCAACGATTTTTCAACCGATTAATTATCGATTAGAACCGAACATTTCTGACATTTAAGTGAACAGTTTGCAGTTTCAAAGACGTTTTGCCGGTACCTTCAGGATTTTATCGTTACCAGATCAATGGTAAGCACAGTTTATTTAGTTACAAAGTACAACACGTTAGCAAAACTATTTATAAAAACTGTGTCGGTCTTACGACAAAAGAGAGTTTTGCAAATAGTTCAACGTCATACAAGATGAGCCCAGGGACGGATTAACTGAGGGGCTAGCAGGGGCTGCAGCCTCGGGCCCCGCGAACTCTGAATATTCAAAAAATCTTCACATTCTACTGCCCTTAAGTGGGCCCCATATGCATTGCAGTCGCGGGCCTCGTAAAGCTTTAATTTTAACTTTCTAATAGAGTTGGGGGTCGAATGACACCTTGCTTTAAAGGTATTTTAACCATAATCATCTGCAAGTATAAAACCTCTTGGTTGCTCAGCTCGTCAAAATCTTGGGAAATTTTTTGAAGTTTAACCAAAAATTAGTTAGGCATTTTATGAAATAGAGAGTGGAACTTCTGCACCCCTAATTTGCACACGAGGAATTTTCAAACTTTAATTTATATCAATTTCTAGTCATAGGCTAGAGAACCTTTTCTATTTCTAGATTATATTTAGCAACACCCTCTAAGCAAATACTAAATGGTAGATTTTCGCATTAATTAAAATAAAATAAGTTTATTCTGCTAGTCACTTACACTAGTGATCTAGATCTTAAGCAATACCATTTCGTTCAACCACCTGTATAATTTGCATACAAAAGCCCAAACTCTCTTACGCCTGCTAATGTTGGGCGTAACTGAATAATGCACATCACTTCTTTATAAGAATGTCTAATTTATCTGAATTATGACCAAATTAACAAGTCGAGATTATCTATACTTTTTGGCTTTTGGCACCAAATTTTCTGATCGAAAATCAGAGCATATTGAATATTTTACTTTTCAAAATCACATTTTTCTCCTTACATCGATCTGCTGACGTGCCCTACTTTATATTTAACAAATGATGTAATGAACATGAGAAATATTTGTATGTTTAAATTGTCTTATTCCTTGCATATAATCAAGGGTATTGCATAACGAAGAAAAAATGTCGTTCACGATATCTTCAACTCGTTTGATATTTGAATGCTCTAGATTGTTTCACCGGTTTTGTTTTCAAAACGCACTTAGTATCACAATAAGGGGAATTACACCAATCTTATAGACCTAAAACTTTTAAAGTGGCTTGTGAGATAATAGTTATTCGAAAGTCGCTGGAAAGTCAGTGATCTGGGTGCTTATTATTGCAACGATTGCACCAAAACCAAACAATGCCAAAACAACCTCGAGACACTCATTTATTAGGGCCGTTAATTAACCCGATTTTACCAATAAAGACTAACAACTAAAAAAAAAAGCGTAAAAGTATTTTACAACCTTAACATTATCGAGTGACCTTATGCCATTTCTTCGCTTTTGCACCTGAAATTTTAGATGGGAACAGCAGTTCACTTCGATTGAGTAATGAATAAACTGGTTGGTTCTTGTATGTAACACTTGTAGGTGGTTTGGTAGCTTGGTGGTTGATTTTTCAGAAACAGCAGTACTTACAGGTTTATTTAAACTATGAGTTAAGCGTTTAGTATCGTAATAATGTTTGTAGTATTTTTTAAAGAAGAGTCGCTAGAGGAATGATTTTTTGTATGTATTTCTTAGAGAATTTTTTTTTTTTAAGAAGTTGCCTTATATTCTTTGTGAACTTTAAAAATACTTTGATACTGATGTTTCAATATTGCATTCTTCTTGTTTTTTCATTTATGTTCTCTTGGACATATTTTGCAAAAGTTCCAACAATTCGCCCTACAGAAACAAGAGCAGCTTAAAGGGCGATTTATACGGGGATTTATTCACAAACCTTTTATCTATAAACGTTGTAAATATTATTTAAATCGTAATGTTCGATAAATTAAAAGCGTCATCAATACTAATATAAGATTCTCCTCAGTCCTCACTCCACATTGTTACGATTTGGTTTAAAAGGCGCAGTTCTATAAACTTAAAAATAAAACTTTGACTGATTTTTCAATATTCTCTTCATTGGGCCCATTTTGATTGCTAACTTTCAACAGTTAGCGCTATATAAACAAGAGCTTCTAGAAGGGCAAATTTAGCATAATTTTTTTACAAAGTTATTCTTGATAAGCATAGTGAATCTGATTCAAATTGCAATGATCGATAAATTGAAAAGCTTCTTCTATACTGACGATTCAAGATTCACCTCACTCGACACAGTTTGGAAGCCAACGTTCAACAATTCGTCACGTAAAAACACGAGCTATTAGAATAATCATTTTTCAGAGGAAACGCCGCTCTGTGAACATGAATCGTTCTGTAGAGTTAAAAAATACTTTAATACTATTGTTTCCATATTCTGTTCATTCGACACCAACGAATAGAAATTAAATCTTACTACTTCTTACTACCTACAAGATTCTTCTCTTTAAGAGGGAAACATTTATCCCATAAAAATATTTGTTAAAAATTAGCCAGTTTTGAAAAAAATCCTGTGAACAGTTTCAACTTTCAAGCTTCTTAAACCCAATTTTTATATAATTATCCAATGCAACCATCCGTCGGCACCCAACTCGACATGAATTTTCCAACATAAAACTATAAAAACAAACCTGTTTCAAAAAAGTCCAAATTTTATACCAAATTGTTCTCAATCTGTTTCATTGCATATTTTTAAATCTTACTCATCTAAGGTATTGTAGTTAGGCCGGAGAGCTATTTCGCGCGGCATCCGATAGATATCGAACGTCTGAAGATAGACAAGGTACCTGAATAAGAAGTTACTTAAAAGACACTTTAGAAACAATGTATAGTGGATGCTAGTGGACTATGCTTACTTTACTTACTCGCATTTTTTACCTGCATCATAAACACCTTGTAATGCACCTAACAATCTGCAGACTGCATCTGAATTAATTTCAGTGGGTTTCACCGCAATCATTGGTATTAACAAATCGGTTCGGCGAAGGAAGAAATAAAATGAAAAGTAACAATCGGCGAAAGCCTTAACCATGACCGTATTTTCCTCGGTTTTGATCTTGAAATCTTAAGAATAGCCATTAACTGACAGCATTTAGAGCGATTTTTATTTTACCAATTGCATAACTGAACCAACTGGTTTGCATTTTGGCGGTACGCAAATGTGATACGGACGCCCAGTAGTTCGATTTTGTATAAAAAGGCTTTGATGTGATGTGATCTGTACAGTTTGCTCTACAACGACTACCGAGCTACATCTACAATCTTACCTCGCTGTAAACAGTATAGAAATGGCATCCAAGGTAAGTCAATATTTCATTTTATAAGTGCTTAGTGATTTCTTAAAATATTGAAGAACAGTGGTATTGTATAGTTTAGAACTTTGTAATTAATTGATTTGATGTTATTTTCAGATTATTGTTTTCTGCGCTTTCATTGCCTTAGCTAATGCTGGGAACATCTTTACACCAGCTGGATATGCCGTTAACCCTGCTTTATACAGCGCCCCAATTTCGTATTCTGCCCCTGCTATTACGTCACAATCTTCCAACATCTACCGGTCCGCAGGAAATCTTGGACAGATCTCAACATACAGCAAGACAATAGATACCCCTTTCTCAAGTGTCAGGAAAGCTGATGTGAGAATTTCCAACCCCGGATATAGAGTGGCCGCCCCAACTCTAGCGTATGCTGCACCAGCTGCTTATACTTCTTACTCTGCTCCTGCTGCCTATACTTCTTATGCTGCTCCCGCAGCTTATGCTGCCCAAACTCCTTATGCCGCCCCTGCAACTTACGCAGCCCATGCACCCCTTTTGGGCGTCGCTTACTCGGCAGCACCAGCAGTCGCTCATGTAACTTTCGACTCTGGAGTTGCTCACTACGCATTTTAGAGCTACTGAAAACTGTTAATTGACTGTGTATTTGTTATTTTATACTTATTTATTTCAATATAATTATGAAGAACTATTATGGTTGCCAATTATTTTATCACCTGTGAAACAAAACGTTTTGTTGCGTAATCATAGAGACGTTCAATCGGAAAGTTTAAGTTCAATCATTTCTTTTAGCTACCAACAAAAAAAACTGCAATATTTATTAATACATATTTATTATTTTCTATCCAAATGCACTAAATTTAAACACTTAAGTCCTACATTTAAAATTCAATGTCAGTCAATACTTATAAAGTACATTTATAAGAATTATTTACAACTTATTTACAACAATGCTCAGTCTAATCAACTTCTTCAATAGTTGGTC